GTTTATCAACTGAGAATGGCGGATTCGAACTAACACTTGTTAAAAGGCATTAATAAATAAGCGAAACTTGGAGGAGTATTATGTGATCTAAAAGAAGTATTAATGGCTTAAATTATTAAATATTGAGGACTACATTTTATTGGCACTTAGGGAATTGCTGAAATGATTTATAAATCATATCTCATAAATAGAAAGGAAAAATGGAAATAAAAGCAGCTAGCGAATTTCCAAAGAGTAAATTGTGGGGCTTTTACTCTTCATAACTTACATAAAGGATGTTTCATAACAAAATGACCAGAACACATATCTGCTGATGACACTAGTGTCATAAATTCTATTAAAAAGTTTGATAATTTCTGTACATTGGCAAATTCAGTTCTCTTATATGAGAAAATGGTTTACTGCGAAAAAGGTGGCCATAGATTTAGATAAAATTTAATACAGTGTGTGACAAATAATGCACCACAATGTGCATTATGAATTGTATATAATGGAAAATACGCAGAAGAGTCAGCAAATACAATATTTTGCAGTCTGAAAATTGATTATCACCTAAACTGGAAGAATCATGCTGAACAAATGATTCTGACTTTAAGTGTTATGTAGTTAGATCATGTTTCATGTTGTCAATACTGACACTCTGAAACCAACTTCACCTACTTCCAATCTGTTTTGAAATATGGAATAGTTTTTGGGGACAATTTAAAAAGGACCAATAAACCTTTTAGGGCCGGCTGCAGTAGCCACGCGGTCTGAGGCATGGTCCTCGCGCGCCCTGCCGCTGCGACCGTGGGTTCGAATCCCACTAAAGGCATGGATGTTTGTCCGTCCTCCTCTTCCAGTCTGGTTGGTAAAGACTGGCCACGGAAGGAAGTGCGAACCCACCGTGGTACTTCCGCATGAGCGCCCCGAAAGGGGTCATGACGGTCAGGTATTGACCAGAGACGATTAAAAAAATCCTTTTAGAGTTTTTTGTACATATATTGTACCGGTCATCGTCACAATCATTAACATGGTCTTATTAGTAGAGGTTTCAGTGTACACTTTAATATTACTATATTCGATGTTTATTGTTTGTGAAACCAAATTAATAATTTAAATTTTACCCATCTCTATGTTTTGTACTTTATGATTCCACATCCTGTAGTCAGTCTGAGTAATGTTTACCCATTAAAAAAATACAAACACACACACACACACGTCTATCTGAGCAGGGAATCGATGTGGCCATGAAACATAAGTGTTAAGCTGCCCAGGTACACTGCCATTCCCATAAGTGGTATGAAGCATGAACGAGATGTTTCATAAGAATAATTCAGCGGCCATTTCCCACCCAAGTCTCCTGATTCACTGCTAGATGGCAGTCAAACCAGGACTGGCTAGAAATTATGCAGTCAGTGGGCTCGTCTCTCGCTACTCACAAACGCACACTTCAAAGACCAAGAAACCTCCTAAAGGAGGCGTCCAATACCCACAATAGGTTGTAGAGCCACAGGTTAGGTTAGGTTAGGATTCACTGACCTCTTGTAGCAATCATGGTAACAAGGTTACATTATTTTTATTCCAGACTATTATGCAGGTGGCAACCTGTTAAATGTGTTGCTAAAGAGGAGAGTGCTCTCAATTCACAAAGCCAGATTATACCTTACGGAAATCATCGAGGCTGTGGAATATCTCCATAAGGTAGGTGAACAATTGCACTGCAGTTCTCTCCAATAAAATGTGTAACAAGGCAGTATAACGCCTGAAAGCACTTAACTGCTTGTGTGGCTAAAGAATATTTATTTCATTCAATACTTCGTTTCTGGACTACATATCAATCGCTGCGACCGTGGGTTCGAATCCCACTAAAGGCATGGATGTTTGTCCGTCCTCCTCTTCCAGTCTGGTTGGTAAAGACTGGCCACGGAAGGAAGTGCGAACCCACCGTGGTACTTCCGCATGAGCGCCCCGAAAGGGGTCATGACGGTCAGGTATTGACCAGAGACGATTAAAAAAATCCTTTTAGAGTTTTTTGTACATATATTGTACCGGTCATCGTCACAATCATTAACATGGTCTTATTAGTAGAGGTTTCAGTGTACACTTTAATATTACTATATTCGATGTTTATTGTTTGTGAAACCAAATTAATAATTTAAATTTTACCCATCTCTATGTTTTGTACTTTATGATTCCACATCCTGTAGTCAGTCTGAGTAATGTTTACCCATTAAAAAAATACAAACACACACACACACACGTCTATCTGAGCAGGGAATCGATGTGGCCATGAAACATAAGTGTTAAGCTGCCCAGGTACACTGCCATTCCCATAAGTGGTATGAAGCATGAACGAGATGTTTCATAAGAATAATTCAGCGGCCATTTCCCACCCAAGTCTCCTGATTCACTGCTAGATGGCAGTCAAACCAGGACTGGCTAGAAATTATGCAGTCAGTGGGCTCGTCTCTCGCTACTCACAAACGCACACTTCAAAGACCAAGAAACCTCCTAAAGGAGGCGTCCAATACCCACAATAGGTTGTAGAGCCACAGGTTAGGTTAGGTTAGGATTCACTGACCTCTTGTAGCAATCATGGTAACAAGGTTACATTATTTTTATTCCAGACTATTATGCAGGTGGCAACCTGTTAAATGTGTTGCTAAAGAGGAGAGTGCTCTCAATTCACAAAGCCAGATTATACCTTACGGAAATCATCGAGGCTGTGGAATATCTCCATAAGGTAGGTGAACAATTGCACTGCAGTTCTCTCCAATAAAATGTGTAACAAGGCAGTATAACGCCTGAAAGCACTTAACTGCTTGTGTGGCTAAAGAATATTTATTTCATTCAATACTTCGTTTCTGGACTACATATCAATATTTATAATTTCTGTGGGAAAAGTCTGAAATAATAAAGTGTAGTTGCATTTATTGCATAATTTCAGCTAATTTCTTATAAATAATTCTTTCAGGTTTAATTAGCACATCTTTGATTAGTATTATCATGTTTATGTAGTCAATTACAATTTACTTCT